GTAAATGACCTGCCTGGGGTCGTGAAGCTCCTAAGAATCTGAGACTCGGGTCTTCCTGATGCCTAAGTCCAGTGCCTCGTGCAGTACCTTCTACAAAGACCACCTTGGGCTCGATTCCATCTAGGGCAGGTGAGCTGAGATGGCGCCAGCAGGCTAAACACACTAAACTCATGGGGAACGTCTGGATCAACTACAGTGAAGGTCCTAAGATCACAGAGCTAGAATGGGGGCCTCAGGGGCCACCTAATTTGACTTCCTCATTTTACAAAGGAAACCCTCCTCAGAGGTTTAGAGAGGTTGAGCCACTCAATGACTTGCCCAAGGTCACGTGGCAGTATGTCAGAAGCAGCAATTGAATGTGGGTCTTCTGAGATCTGAAGGAAGGCAAAGTGAGGAGGGGGAGGGGAGGGGAGCCCAGGTATGAGGGATGACCTGGGAAACGCGCCCAGAGGGGATATGGAATGTCTGTGTGTGGAGAAATAAAAGAGCTACTTAAGCTGGAGCAGAGAGGGCATGGAGGGGAGGGAGTGCAAGAAGCCTGGAGATGTGGGTGAAAGCCCAGCTGGGACGGGTTGGAAACACCAAACAAGAGTCTGCATTTGTTGCCAAAGGCCCTAAAAGAGCCGCCAGAGTTGAGCAAGGGAGGGACACGATTAGATCTGTACTTTAACTCTGATATATCAATACATTATTTAATGTTCTTGTTCGTTCATTTCAGTCATGTCCAACTCTTGGTGACCCTATGTGGGGTTTTCTTGGCAGAGATACTGGAGTGGTTCTCCAGTTCCTTCTCCAGCTCATTTGGCAGATGAGGAAGCTGAGGCAAACAGGCTCACACAGCTAGTAAATGTTCGGGGTCACATTTGAACTCAGGTCTTCCTGACTCCAGGGCTGGCATTCTATTCACTGCACCACCTAGTTGCTAATGTACATGTGTGTTATTATCTCAATTAAAATATAAAGTATAAAAGGCCAGAGTCCATGTTCATTCATTCATTCATTCATTTATAATAATAAAAGCTTAGATTTATAGAGAGCTTTAAGGTTTGCAAAAACACTTTATAAATATTAGCTCATTTTATCCTTATGACAACTCATTGAGTGCCCTATTTTATAATGGAGGAAATTGAGGCAAACAGTGGTTAAGTGATTTGTCCTAGGTCACACAACTAGTAAGTCTGGATTGGAACTCAGATCTATCTGACTCCACGTAGGTACCAATTTATATCCTCTTTTCCAGGCCAGGTGAGTGCTTTTTCACATACTCTATTCTTACCACAACCTAATGAATGATTGGCTTAGCTCAATTTTCAGTAAGAGATGAAACCTCCAAAAATGGGAACTGCCCTTTTTTTTAAAGGGGGGAGGGTGAGCAGCTAGTTAATTTCAGAACAACATCCTGGTTTGTGCATCCTGGCATCAATGCTGATTCCTGTTGGGTGTGGAGAACAGGGATGCTTTGAAGCAAGTATTCTCTCATAATGGAGAGCTCCTCATGGCCTGTGGAGGCTTTACTTTGCCCCCTGGTCTTATCTCAGCCTTGCAGTGAACTCTACTGTACCTATTTCTGGATGACTGGACAACCGAATGATGAAAGGAGAAATCTACCCCTGGAGTTCGGAACAAGGTCCATGACCTTCCCCCCCCATCTTCCCCGGTCCATATGGATGTTGTGGGCTTCCTGAGTGTGAGGAAGTACAAGTAGCTACAATGTAGCAGCTGACAATGGAAAATAAATAAGATGTGGAACAGGAAGCCCGTGTTTAATTGTCTGTTGCACGTCGTCGCCATGTTGGCAGGAGATGGCCAGCAAAGGGTCAGGGGGAACACTGAATCATCCTAGCAGCACCATAGAGTGAATCACTACAGGGCCAGAGGAAGGACAGATAGTCCCAGGAAACAGGACGACCTCTTTTGGTGCTTCATCATGGCACGTGGAGGGTCTTCAGCCTGCCAAATTGGAAATGCTTCAAGTGCAGACCCAACAACCAGCAAACACTTATTAAGCACCTACTACATGCTATGTATTTGGGGATACAAAGACAAAACAAATAGGATCCACGAAGGGCATCACCGTCTTCCCAAATGCTTGGGCTCAGAACCTTGGTGTCATGGTGGACTCCCTCACTCACCCTCATCCTCCCCCACCTGCCATCTTTAAGCTGTTGCCAAGACCTGCCATTTCTACCTTTTTACGGTGAGGCAATTGGGGTTAAGTGACTTGCCCCAAGTCACACAGCTAGTAAGTGTTATGTGTCTGAGGCCAGATTTGAACTCAGGTCCTCCTGACTTCAAGGTCAGTGCTCTATTCACTGTGCCATTTCTACCTTTTTTTTTTTTAACAGTAAGGCAACTGGGGTTAAGTGACTTGCCCAGAGTCACACAGCTTGTAAATATTATGTGTTTGGGGTCAGATTTGAACTCAGGTCCTCCTGACCTCAAGGTCGGTGCTCTATCCACTGTGCCATTTCTACCTTTTTAACATCCATCACACATGCTCCCTTCTCTCCTCTGACACTGGCACCACTCCGGTGCAGACCCACATCACCTCGCATCTGGGCTATTGTAATGGTGGATCACTTGCAGGTGAGTCTCCTTGACTCAGGTCTCAAATCTCTCCCCACTCTGAGCCATCGTCTCAGCAGCCAAACTCAGGCAAGTCTGATCCTATCACCCTTTCCCTTTATTTGATATACTCCAGTGATTTCACCTCCAGGACCAAACATCAAACCATTGGTTTGGTTTTGAAAGCCCTTCACAACCTGGCTTCTTCTCCTTTCCCCTTCTTATACCTCACTCTCTTTCATGCAGGTCAGAAGTGGTATAAGGACACTCTCAAGGTCTTTCTGAAGAACTTTGGAATCAATTGTGAGACTTGAGGTGTGGCATAGGACCACCCAGTTTGGAATGCCCACATCAAAGAAGGTGCTGTGCTCTGTAAGCAAGCCGAATCACAGCACAAAGGAGATGTGAGTTGCATAAACCTAGAGACATCTCCATCCCAAATATTCAGAGTACTTGTGCCTGACCTGCAGGAGAGCCTTCTGAGCTGATACTGGGCTGATCAGCCACAGCTGGACACACGACCGTGGCCCCAACATCACGATATCATCGGTCCTCTTTGAAAACGAAGGCTGAACAATTCTACAATCGTTAACACCGGCCTCCTCACTGTTTGGTCCATCTTCCCACCTCCCTGCCCTCGCACTGGCTGCCTCCCCCACCTGGAATGCCCTACCTCCTCACCTTCCCTCCTGGCTTCCTCTGGGAATAAGCTTAAATCCTGCCTTTTGGCAGACACACTTTCCCTCTGAGATCCCTGTATGTATCTCATATGGATACAGTTGTTCACAAGAGCGCGAGGGTGGGGACTAGGTTGTGACTTCTTTTCGTCCTTAGTTCTTAACCCAGTGCCTGGCACATAGCAAACGCCTAATGAATGCTAGTTGACTGACTTGCCCTCAGGGACCTTACAGTCTATTAGACAAAAGGAGCCATCTGGAGGAAGAAGGGATGAACTAGAATTCACGTGAGGCAAAAGCAGAATTTCAGTGTTTAGCATGAGGGTGAAGGGTGGCTCAGAAAATGGGACAACCAGGAAGCTTCTTGGAGCCCAAGTCTAAGTTATTTGAAGAGCTACAGGGAGGTAGGTTGAGTCAGACTGAACAAGATGAAGTGATGGGGGTGGGGCTTGGAGATGCAGTTAGGTTTATTTTTATAGTATTTGGGGGGTGGGTGAGGCTCAGTATGATACAGAGCACTGGCTGGGGGGAGGTGGGGAAGGGCAAAGGCTCTGGGTTCAAATCCTGATTCTGCTGCTTTACTATCTACGAGACTTTGGGCAAGTCATTGCATCTCCACAGGGTCTCAGTTTCCTCATCTGTAAAATGAAGAGGCTGGGTGAGAAGGATGACCTCTGAGGACTCTCCCATCCCCAGAGCTATGTCTCTATGATCTCCTGAGGTGGGGTGGGCTGGAATCTGCATCAGTGAATGGACTCTTCCCACCAATGAAACCACAGGTCTTTGGGCTTTTGAAGTCAGGACATGAAGCCAGCAGCAAAAACTGTGCAGTTTACTAAAGTCAAGACAAAACTATACTGCTCAAGGGTGCTCGCCACCACCCTCTTGGATGTCCAGCTTTTCTACCTAGGGTTAGAGTCCACAGCTCCTCCCTCACATTTGTTCCCTTTCTCCAATCGGTTGCCAAGCCCTGTCATTTCTGCCTTGGAGGCAAAAGTAGCATGATTTATTTCTTTTCATTTGTTTATTTTTATTTGCCAAGATTGCAGAAGTAGTGTGCTTTATTCATTTACTTACTTTTTAATTCACTTATTTATTTATTTGTTTGTTTGTTTATAGTTCTTTTATATTATTTGCCAAGATTGCAGAAGTGGTTTTCTTTATTTCTTTATATTTCTCTTATATTTTTATTTGCCAAGATCATAAAAGTAGTATGTTTAATAGATATAAAATAAACGAATATACCAAGATAAGTTTAGTATCTATTATTATAATTATATATATTTTACATATATTATGTTTAGTATCTATTTTTAAGTTTACTCACCCTTCCCACAGGACCTCTGAAGCTGAAGATAATTGAGGGTTGTACAGTGCACATACAGACCCTTATTTTATTTTTTCTAAATCAGTATCACCCATTGGAAAAAACAACAACAACAACAACACTGTAAGTGTCAGAAGACAGGACTTGAATCCAGGTCTTTCTGGCTCCAAGGCTGACCCTCTACCTCCCCCAGTCTGGCTGTCTCTGGCACTGTATACACACTTAATGTGTGCTGAATGAATGAATGAATGAACTAAAACAGAATGAGCGGGTGGCTGGATAGGACACAGATTAGCCATTGGCTACCTGGGTTTGCTATCGAAATCGGGGTTTCTACTTCAGGCCTATAAAAGCTCCTTGTGGTCTGACTTGTTAGAATTCTTTGGTGACTCTCTAGCAGAGTGGGTGGGGGGGCACGTTTGGGGACTTACTTTTTCCTGGCTGTTCAGTTCCTGGTAGGGAATGTGTGCTGGCAGGTAGGTGTGAAGGAGTGCGCAGAAGGCCAGGCCATCGCTCCAGCTGCTGCTGAAATTGGTGATATCGATGTTCTGTGGGGGGAAAAAAAAACCAATGACAATCACCTAACAAGCCAACATGAGAAAAAGGCCCAGGCTGAGGCTGGGGCTGGAGCCTCCGAAGGTCCTCACCTCACAAAGACAGGAAAATGATAATGAAGAAAGGATGGGGAGAGCTGGCATTTCTGTAACTCTAAGGTTTCCAAAGCTCTTTACCTATCGTGTGCCATCTGATCCTCACAACAACCCTGTGACGTAAATGCTATTATTATTATCATCCCCATTTACAGACAAGGAAACTGAGCCCCAGAGTGGTTAAGTGGAGATAAGCAGGATTGTTGATATTTTTGAGTCTTTGGGCACAGAATTGTAGACTTTTAGAGCCAGAGGGGACACAGTGCTGGACTTGGAGTCAGGAAGACCCCAGTTTGAATCTTATCTCAGAGACTTACTAGCTGTGTGACCCATGGCAAATCATTTAACTTTTCTGGGCCTCAGTTTCCTCATCTGTAAGATGGTGATAATAATATCTGTCATACCTATCTCCCAGGGTTGTTGTGAGGACCAAATAAGATAACATACATAAAGTGCTTTACCAACGTTAGCTGTTACCATCATTATCTTCATCATCCAGGCGCAAGGGTTCTTCACCTAGGAGCTGAGAATTTGTTTTTTAAAAACTTTTTGACAATGCTTTGTTCAGTCATTTTCAGTAGTATCCAACTCTCCATGACCCCATCTGGGGTTTTCTTGGCAGAAACACTGGAGCGGTTTGCTGTTTCCTTCTCCAGCCATTTGACAGATGAGGAAACTGAGGCAGACAGGGTGAAGTGACTCTCCCAGTGTCTGAGACCAAATTTGAACTCAGGTCTGACTTCAGGCCCCACACCGTATCCACTGTGCCACCTAGCTTCCCAGAGCATTGTGAAGGTACATTAGAGACAAGACTTCTGCTGTACAAAAAGGGAAAGCTGGGAAGCCATCTTGGGAGCTACTTCCCCATCTCCCCCATCTTTATTTTCATTAACCTCTAACTGGAATTTACCATTTCCTTTGTAGGAAATGTAGCCAAAAAAAATATTATTCTGAGAAGGGGATCATAGGGTTCCCAGACTGCCAGAGGAGGTCCGTGACACATACAAGTTTAAGCACATCTGGATGCCTAGAGGAAGATGCCCTGCACATTAAGTTGGATTCACAATAGAGGATACAGGGTATAATCAGTCAATTGAGGAACATTTATTAAGCATCTACTATGTAGCCGGCAGTGTGGTAAGTGCTGGGGATACAAAAACAGGCAAAAAACATTCTCTGCCCTCAAGAAGCTTACAGTCTAACAGGGGAGGGAGACAACATGCAAACAGACACATAAAGCAAGCTATGCACAGGATAAATAGGAATGAATGAACAGAGGGAGGGCACTGAAATGAAGAGGAGCTGAGGAAGGCTCCCTGCAGAAGGGGGGATTTTAGTTGGGACTTAAAGGAAGCCAGGGACTTAAAGCTGAAGTCCAGGGCAGTTCTGTCTCTCTCCCCTACCTCGGGCCACCTGCCCAGCCACGCTGCCTTGGGAACAAGAAATTACCTCCAATGGCTCTTACCCAATGCTCTCTCAAACTCTGAGGTTCTATTCGTCTGTCTTCTGGTTTATACTTTAGAGCTAATTTTCATCGTGTACAAGTATTCAGTCTGTCAGTCAACAAACATTTATTAAATGCCTACTGTGTGCCAGGCACTCTGTCAAGCACTGGGGATATAAAGACAACACTATTCTCCCTGCCTTCTAATGGAGGACACAACCTGCAAATAATTCTGTATTTTATGTAACTGGAAGGTGATCTCATTTTTAGTAGACACAAAGTTATTTCTGTAATTCTCATAAGCACCTATCAAACACAATGTATCATAATAACCCGAAATTGTACAGTACAGAAAATTTAAGCAGGGAGCCTCCCTCATTAGCTAATAACCTCTTACAGACCAACAGAATTTGGACAAGATGAGATAATTATCATCAGCAGGGCTGGTACGCGGAAAGTATGGGGCCAGTTAGATGTTGCCAATGTGGTAAGATTTTCTAATGTTTAAAAAATCACAGATTTAGAGTTGGATGGGACCTTTGAGGTCATCTAACCCCCCCCCCCCATTTTGCAGATGAGGAGCTGAGGTCTACACAAATGAAGTGACTTCCTTGAGGGTCACCCAGGTTAGCACCAGAGTTAAGATTTGGACCCATGTCTCCTGACTTTAAATTTTGCTTGTACCATGCTCCTCTGTGAGGAACTCCCTCAGGTTCCCTGCCCTGCACTTGACTGTCCCCTCCTTTGTCTTAAATGCCAACCATCAAACAATTATTCAAGGTCAGATGACTATCTCCTAACTACTAGGTCAGGACACTGCAGGGCTTTCTGGGGAGGTGGCAACATTCTGGATGGATTTCCTCACCCTCTTTGAACAGTTTTGATGTAGAAGGTGAAGGTGAGAGTTAGAGAGACTGCTGCACTGAGTCATCATATAACTATAGGTGGAGTGGGGTGTGGATGAATGGATAATGACTCAAAGGTAAAGGTGAGCCATTCTCCCCAGGGACAATGAAGAAAATTCAGTTATATGATGGGCTGGGCTAGACAATCCAAGTGGAGTCTTTATTGTTAGAAGGCCATGGTAAAAAGTTATGGCATACAATTGTGATGGAACACTATAAGAAATGGAGAGCAAGATGGTTTCAGAAAAACCTGGAAAGACTCACATGAACTGATGCAAAGTAAAGTGAGCAGAGCCAGGAGAACATTGTACACAGTAACAGCGACATGGTAATGGTGATTATTATTCTGAGCAATGTAATGATCCAAGACAATTCCAGAGGACTTATGATAAAAAATGCTATCCATCTCCAGAGAAAGAACTGATGGAGTTTGAATGCAGATCAAAGCAGACTTTTTTAACTTTGTTTTTCTTGGTTTTGGTCTGGTTTTTTTTTTGTAACATGGATAATATGGAAATATATTTTGCATGACTGCACATATATAACCTATACCAAACTGCTTACCTTCTCAAGGAGGGGAAGAGAGGAAGGGAGGGAGAGAATTTGGAACTCAAAACATTTTTAAATGGATATTAAAACTTATGTTTAGATGTAATTGAGGAAAAAATAAATTTAATAATTTTTTTTAAAAAGGCCAGGTTAAATTGGGGCACAGAACCATATAGAACCATAACTAAGTTTCATGCCCACAGCGGCACAGGAGATGAGTGGCAGAGGCAGGACCCTTGCCCATATTCTTGGACTTCAACTCCACTGTTCTGTGACAATACACAGGCCCTGTTGGGGTCAGACGTGGAGGGGCAATTTTAAATGTAGGGGGCTAGGAATAGGTGACAGAAGGCCCTACAACAAATTTTAGGGTAGAAGCCTCAAATAACAGGGTACCCAGGATGGGCTCCAGTGGCAAAGGGAGAAGCTTCAAAGTTGAATTTTGCTCTCTTAACCCTGACTGATATAGCCAGATTTGGTCTCCAAACTGGTCAGGCAACTTTTTCCCTGGCAGACAGGCCAGGAGCTGAATTATCGATAGCCTGGTCCAAAATGTAAACATTTGTTTTAAGCCCAGGCGTGGGGAGCCTCTGGCACAGAGCCCAGATTTTGCCCTTGTTTTGAATTAATCCAGTCCTCCAAATTATGTTGCTGCTACAGAACAGAAAGTAAGGTCTCCCCCATTGGTATTCTCTGGTTTTGCCATTCAGAGAAAAACCTCTGAAGTTAGAGTAGATGAAGAGCAGTAAGGAAATGGGGGAAGCCCATAACCCAAGTCACAGTGAACTAACTCATCTCAATTCTTTTGGGAGCCAGGTAGTCCAAAGGTTAGAGGGCTGGACCTGATGTCTGGAAGACCTGAAAAGGACTGGATTTGGAGTCAGAAAACCTTAGTCCAAATCCAAGTGTGCTGATTCTCCATGTTGGACAGGTGGATAATGACACCTCTTGGATTGTCTAGCCTTGCCAATCAAATAACTATGGGATCAGATGAACACTAAGGACCCTGCCAGCTCTAAATCTATAGTCCTATGACACCACCCCCAGGCACCCTTCACAAAACTGGAGGTGGGGGCCAGTACCCCTTCGCCAGACTCCATCCCAGGTCACAGGACCTGAGTTCACAGCCTAGCTTGGCCACTCACTACCAGGGCAAGTCACTTTCATCCCCTAGGCCTCAGTTTCCTCATCTGTAAAAAGAGGGGGTTGGCCTAGATGGCCTCTGAGATCCCTTCCCCCTCCAGATCTGTGCTTCTATATTCTCTTAAAATCCTTATCTTTTCCATAGAGAGGAGACACTGAGTTTCCCTGCCCAGTTACATATTCCCATGCAAATCCTGGCACTGAGGTCACAAGCCGCAAACACACAGCTATTGTATAGCAACCCTGGCAATTCTGTAAGATCACTGGGCCTGAAAATTCTTCATCTTTGCTTGCCAAATTCACACGAGGGCCATTGAGCTCAGCACTTCCTTTCCCCCAGAGATGCCATAGATTTGTCTGCAGGTAGAAGACTGAGCTGTCTTCTCTCTCCCTAAAGAATTCTCCTAGGCTGTTGTGACCTTTCTAGATTTCTAAGGCATTAAAAACAAATAATACCAAGCCCATTTCCAAAGGGAGAATCCCCGTAAGTTACATATGGAGCCAGATTGCCAGGCATTGGCAGGGGTGGGGGCACCCCTCTGGTCTCACAGCTGCCCACACCTGGACACCTGCAGCCCTGGCTCTGGAGACGTCTCCACCACCTCCTTCCCCACCACATTTCATACTCCCTGGGCTGACAGCTGCTGGGTCTGTTCCACAACACATTTTCCACTGCTAATGGAAATGTTGGAGAGGGAACAGCTGCCCCCCTCTTTTTTTTTTTTTAGCATCCCCGGTGAGGGAGAAGGTAACAGCTCTGAAAGTCAGGGTTGGGAGGGAGTGAGTCACAGTAAGTATAAGGATAAGGGCTGATATGTTTAGAGAGGCCTTTCTGGCCAATGAAACCAGATCTCTCG